AAGCAACATAAGGTAAGAGGGCCTTGTTGATGTAATGTTGAAGTACCCAGACCAGATCTCACGAAGGTGTATAGTAAGGAACGTCGGAGACCGTTTTTCATGTTTCGAGCAGTGACTGGCTCATGATTTTTTTGAATAATTATTTGAGCTAACCCTTCATACCGATTTCCGAGGTAGTTATTATTGTTGTGGTCCCGGGTCATGAACTTAGATTTCGGCAGAAACCGACGAGATCGAACAAGGTCATGCTTTGTTGCCTGACCATCTACACAGAATTTCCATTTCAGTGCCTTTCACAGTATCGCAACTTCCAGAGCCTACTCCTCAGAAACCCATGTCTTCCATAGTCTCGAGCTACTTTCACAGTACATCTTACCCAAATTTTTTCCGCACACCACTCCCACCTCTGCACCGTATCCATCCCGCTATCTAAACATCTCGCCAAGTATTGCTCTCACATTCAATTTTTACTTTGCTCATAAGAATGATAAACCTATCAAAGAACAAAATAAAAACTCATCTAAATATTCATTAATAAAGTCGGATCAATGTAGTTCAAGAAAGGCTGCCAACTTACAATACTAATCGAGCTTGCTCGGTGAACGACATCATCTCTGTAGATGAAAGACGCCCCAAGGACGAAGAAATGTTAATGGCAGACAACTTCTCGAATTTATATTTTTCACCACAAGTGAGTAACACTGTTGTAAAGTTGCGATTAGTGCCAGAAAAGTGAGACTGCCTCTGATCAATATTTAGCAAAGACCGTGTCTCATGATTGAGTCAAAAAAAGAGGGGAACGGCAAAGGTCACCACTAAATCACAAAGTCAAGCGCACACGTTGACTTGCAGAGTGCCATATGTTTCTTTTTGCCTGTTTACTTATGACACCCTTCATTGTATTAGAATAAACGGAATGACCGATTGAACACGTAAGAAATCTAATCAATCAGAACGAAGGAAGGGAGACAAAGGAGAGCAAGTAGGACATATAAAAAAGAAATAGAAAGAAAACGAACAGTGATAGAACTAGAACTCGCAGATCCAAAGTATCACAACCATAAAACGTTCACATACATTAAGATTATGAAGAACCGGCCCGTTAATATTTACAGCCTGATGCGATAAATAGATTGTGTACCGATGGAGGTTAGGTATCACCTCTGGCACCCAGAGGTGAAGGTACACAGCACAACAACCTTTGGTCAACCGCTGAAAACAATCTGTAGCACGTATGATTGCTTAGGGACGTTCACTGGCTGAAGATTCGACATTCAGGTAAAAACAATTCAATAACCGGTATTTCCACATCACCTGCTTTTTTGTAATTGAGTTAATGGAAACGACTACAATTTTCTTTCAGCCACAGTAGTTATCATGTCTTCCTTTACATCTTGAAAATTACGATTTGAAGAAAAAGGTAGGTATCGCATCTGATCGTTGTTCACTTTTCATTCAGAATAACTTTTTTAGATCTTTTGGGGCAGTAAGACTCTTATTAGCGTAGAAGTGAAAACTACAGGCAAAAATTAAAAAACTGCTCTCTAGAAAGGTTGAATTTTTGCAGATGACATAGTGCAAAGTATCTTTATTGTGCT